AAATTTTTTAAAGTGGGAGTACGGTAAACCAAACGATTTCGCTTTTTGGTTTTTTAAATTTCATTTACGATTACTATCTCTTCATATCTAGTACTGTTTGGCTGTAAAAGTGGTAAGCATTAAAAAAGTATAATGTCATTTTAAAATATCTCGGTAGAAATAATATTCCAACATATTATTAGTTTTTTTTTCAAAGTAAAGTTAAATTTTTCTAAATATGTTTCTGGTTGCTGGAACTGCACAATGTTTATAGTAATTAGTTTTTATTGTATCTTGATTAAATTTTAAAATGTAGATGTTTAAAATTTAATTTATATCTCATACAAGAGCCACGTGAAAAACAGAATTTATTTTTGTTTAGAAAACGAATAAGTGCAGCTGGAAACTAAACGCTGGAACATTAACTAAAATCTAAAAGTTACACGTGAGAACGAGAACAAACAAGAAGGTATGCTGTTCATGCTCGAGTAGCAGAAATATGGGAAATGCGAGATTTGGTGTTCGTTCCCGAGTCGTAGAATTTTCGAATGGATCTTACGGAAATTGCCATCCAAAATCAAATGTGGTAACTAATAGTGGCTAATTTTATTAATGACGAGATAAACTTTAATTTACCTGATAAACTTTAAATGACTTGTTCCCGAACAGTTTCTTTTTTTATTTGAATAAACTAATTCATTTTTATAAGTATATATTATGTTGAATCTTATTTTTTAAAGATTACAACAATTCCCTTTTACTCAAATTAAATTTTGTATAAGTTTTTATTAACTTCTTTTTTTGATAAAGCTAGAGTTTATAATTCTCACTAGCTTTCAAAAATAAAAAAAGAGAATTATTGGTGCCCAACTTTCCTAGAAAATTATTACCCCAAAGGTGTCTATTAGAAACGCCGAATTCACGACTGAGAAAACTATGGTTAATGTGCCCACTTCTTTTTTTTTATTTTTAAAGGTAAGTAATGTTTGGTGTTAAATTTCTCTGAGCTAGTCAAAATCTCTTATAAGTGTTTTGAAATTAACATTTTATCACAAGGTAACAGCATATATTGCAATCGATGTAGAGTGACTTTTAATCCATCTTAAGGTGACCACATTGTTAATAATTGATACTTCCGCCAAAGCTTCATAAATTCGTCGTCTATTTAGGGTAAGTAGTGCTTGTCTGCTATCTGTATAGATAAGCATGTTCCTTTCAGTGATATTGTTTCTGGTGATTTCTTTTGTTGCTATGATAATCCCCGTTAACTCTGTTTGAACTACACTGGCACTATTGCTCACAGCCCATATTAAATTTGAGTTTAAGAATCTGGAGTATATTCCACATCCTGAGCCTTGTTTTGTTTTAGAACCATCGGTGTAGATATGAATTGTACCTGCAACTTCCGGTTCTTCTATTTATTTTGCTATAACTTTGTATGGATTATGGAAAATATATCTCAGTCAAATGGACCATGTTCGCTTGAAGCAGTGAAAGCGTATCGAGCGCCTCCTGCCAAAAGCAACAGACACGCTTCTGCATTGTCTTCAGAGTAACCTTGATGTAAATATCAAGGGGAGTGAGACTAAGAATGACTTCCATGGCTCTGGTCGGTGTTGTTTTCATGGCTCCTGTTATATTGAGACATGATGTTCTTTGAATTTGTTCTAGTTTATGGATAGCTGCTAATTTTTGGGTTTTTGGTACTCAGGATAGGTCCTATAATAGCCGTGTAAGTCCATGCGACGACTCTGGGGCAGAAACCCTATGTGCGCCCCACGGTTAAGCGGCATTGTTAATAAGCAGTGTATGACAGTTTTAACTCTGTTTTCTTAATGCAAGTTCCATGTTAACTTGCTGTCAAAGGTGAGACCTAGGTACTTCATCTCTGTTGCAAAGTTTAGTGTTTTGTTTAGGAGTTCTGGAGGTTCCATTTTTATCCTTTTCCTTGTGAAAAGGACCATTTCTGTCTTCTTAGGATTGATAGACAGTAAGTGGTCCTTGCACCACTTTTCTATAATTTTTAGATCCACTTGCATTGTGTAGCTGAGTATGTTCTCAAAATTCCCTATTTGCAGAATAACCAGCTTATCTGCATATTCTATTGTGTAGTGACTCTTATTATTGAGGCGGCTGATGAGAGGGTCGAGGACCATGTTCCACAGTAGAGGTAATTGCACCCCTCCCTGTGGACATCCCCTCGTAACCAAGCCTCTTATTTTCACTTCTTCTACACTTGTTTACTACTCGGTTTGAGAGCATGTTATTTATCCACTTTCTAACCATCTGTGGAACATTCCAGTTGGTTAGAGAGTGTATTTTCAGGATCTAAATATACCTACTAGGTGTGGTGTATGTTCTTCCAGACCCCACTGAAGTAGGGTTGGATAAATACCGTCAGTTCTTAGCGATTTAAATGGAAAGAAGCTTAATTTTTTCATCGTCTACAATGTGTTTGGCAGTTTGTCAATCATAGATAGATGGGTTGTATTTTTTTTCTGCCCAGTCGACCACGTCTGGGATAACCGAGTCAGGGAAGTGTGTTGATAGCAGAAGTTTGATACTATCTTCGAGGTTGGTAGTTTTCGTGCCATCATTTTTGATTAATACACCAATGCTTCGGTGTGTGTCTTTTGAGAGAGCTTTGTGTAGTCTCGCTGCCTGCGGGAAATCTTCGATTTCTTTTTGAGGTGAGATTTGCAAGTATCCCAGTCCTCTTTCAGTTTTCTGTTTCTTACCTCATCAAAGAATTTCCTAGCCATCTTCCTGAGTTGATCCAACTCTGACACCACCATGCGGTAGTCGTCTGATCGTGTTGGACCAGCCTCAGAGGACAGGATTTATTGTAGGAATTGTTTATTGTGCATTGAATGGTGTTCAAGTACTTCTACAAAGCATTGTTATTGTTTGGTGTTTCGGCCTTCATCTCTCTCAGATACTCTTGGAGAAGGTGGGCATAGGTTGCCCTGCCCGTCTTCCTAGGGCTTCGAGATAGAGTGGAGGTTGGCAACATCAAGCTTATTTTGAATGTTAACCAGCGGTAGTCTGACATCGAAATGTTATCAGACACTTGCGAGTTTAGAATCGCCCCCATATTGGTGCTTCACTTACGTCCACTTAACCTTGCCCACCGATGTCATTTTAATGGTTAAATAAACGTAGCATCTCCGTCAATATCCTACCTCCATGGTTATGATATATATAGGCCTGCTGACTTTGACAGAGTTAATAATATATACATAGTTATTTAGATTGCTCAAAGCGGGTTGCTTTTCGAGTGGCTATATTGCCTCGAAAGAGCTGATTAATCAGATAGTAAAAAACGTATGTTTTTTAAAACATAAGCTTATGTTTATTTTGATAAACATTGATGAATAATTTATATAACTTTCTTTATCATTAACCTGTCAAATCACTAGGCCCAAAGGGTTGCCATATCATAACCCACGGGCAACCATTTTGTTTGTAATACCCAATAATCAAAACAAAATAAAACACAGTAAAGCAAAATTCGTTATATGCAAGACTAAATCGTTAATATAAATTTTGGATGAACCACTAAATTTTTCAATGCCATGATCAGGACACAACCTAGAAAAGGATAAAATATCGATAAAGGGACACACAATTGAAGGGACTCCAATTAAACAATACAGGTATAAAATAATAGGAAACTTACCCAATTTTTTACATTTTAATTTTTAAATACTCCATTGGCTAATATCGCAACAGGCATTGTTTTATATTCTAAAAAAGTTTGCTTAGCAAGGAGATCGTCATTCTTTGACCTGTTTCATGTGGATAAAATAAGAAACAGCTTGGATACTATAGCTACATTCAGCCAAAGTCTTTTCTTATTTGTACACCCAGTGCAATAATTTCAAGAACACCATGGAATGTTATCCTTAAAATGTTTATTACTGTTTTTTGTATTCCACATTTACCTAATGTATATATCGTGTGTTCTTGACATTTGTATTTTATTATCTTCTAATATGTACATATTAATTATTTACAGTTCACTCATTTCTATTAATTGATGGTTTCGGAAAAAGAAAATAACGATCATGTTTACAAAAATTTCCAAACAACCGGTGCGCTTAATTCTCAAACATTTTTTGTTAAGACAAATACTCTAGACGACTGGACTAATTGGGAACGAAGGCGAGAGAAACTGATATAAATAGACAGAGAACGCAGACATTGGTCGAAAATTTATGGACCAGTGATTTATCAGAGTGAATTGCAGATGAGACACTTTAGTGCCAGTTACCGTTACCTGGATAGCCATGGTTTTACCGAAAACCACTTCAATTCTTTATCTTTCTGGCACTGATCCAGTTCGACGAATGCACAGAGGTGGATTTGCCCTAATTTAAAAATAACAGGGTTTAACACAGTTATATTTTTCTTCAGAAACTACTTTAATACAACAATAAAATTATAATAATAATAATAAATCATTTATTAACTTCAGCAGGGTACATTTTATCAGATTTTTATTTATACATAATATATATATCGTCCCCTTTCTGGATTAACCTCGTAACTCCATTTTTTTCGAAATTGAGATTTTTCGTGAAAAACATTCCTGAGCACTCCTATTACGTAAAACATAACATGAAATGTTTATAATGATGAGAGAATTTTTTTTAGATGCTTATGATTTTTCTCGTATCTACATGTTCAAATTCAAAAACCCCGTATCTACCATAAGTATCGCTGAAAACGTTAAGATGGCGTTGTTGTCTTATTACTAAATGTTTGTAAACATACTGACACTTCAGTCGACTATATTTTGTTGACTGATAGTTATTTTTTATCAATGCATTATAAATATATACAATCAGTAAGTAATATTTATTTAAATATTTAAAATCTCTTGTTTAATTATAAGTAATATGTTGAATGTTCATTTCACTTAAATGAAGGATAAAATTTTGTTTTTCATATTTAAATTTAAGCTTTTATACTTTAACCTCAAATAAAATATTTTTTTAGTTATTAGTTATTATAAATAAATGGTAAAATGATTAATTTTTTTAACAGCTATCAAAATGTCAGTAAAAGAATCTGAAACTTATCATGTGAGAAATGATAGTCGATTATCACCAAAATCGGTAAAAGCATAAGTAAATGTTATCCACAATTTTCTTTTTTTTTTTTATTCTGAGTGAATTTTAAACATTTTCAGTAATAATTAATTGATTCAATTTTTCATTATAGAGAGCGAGTTTGTCAGTGCAAAACGTTTCGTTTTCGCAAGCAAACGATGGTAGTGCTAATTCATCAAATAATGGTGCGAATAATCTGAGTGATGAGAATATGGTTCTTGATGAGACTACTGGTCTTTTCGTACTTCGGAAATCGAATTCAACAATTGAAGAAAATATTGTTCAAGATTACTCTAATTATATTTTAGATGAAAAGACTGGATTATTTGTTGAACACAACAACGAAATTGATCGTCTTTCTGAAAGATATAGCAGTTTTTCATTAAGCTCCACTCAATGTTCACGAGAAATTAGTTCACTAAGTTCAGCTGATTCTAATTACATGAGTAAAAAATTAGATGAAACTTCTGCGCAAATTCAAAGAAAAAGACGAAAAAAAGGACAAGGAAAACCAGCAAATAAAATGAAACGAGCTCGACTGAGTGGGAAGTCATACTATAGTAAACAACACGTAAAGAATAAAATGGTAGGATTGAAAAAAAGGGAGAAACGTCAACTCAAACCTCCATGCGATTCCAAAAAGTGTGAGAAAAGTCAGTTTTTTCAATGTAATGTAATTAAAAAGGCACAGAGAGAAGAAATTTTTAATTCGTTTTGGAAAAACTTGGATTGGAAAGAACGTAAAGCAGTGATAATAAATCTTGTTGAAAAATCTTCTGTCTTGTCCAACACAAAAAGTGACAAGTCTTGGCGTAATGCATCAATTAAATATTATTTGAAAATTGATAACCAGAATGTCCGAGTGTGCAAAAAAATGTTTTTAAATACCTTTTGTTTAGGTGAATGGACTGTACTCAATTGGATAAACAAAAATAATGGATTCGGTATTGTTCAAAAAGGAGTATTGACTAAGAAGACTTCCAAAATTGACGTAAAAAAAATGAAAATGTCAAGACATTTTTACTTAACTTGCCAAAAATGGAATCTCATTATTGTCGCCAAAAAACAGAGAAACAATATCTTGATTTAATTTATACGTCATTCAAGGATGTTTATAAAATGTTTTCGCAATATATTACTGATAATAATATACCATCTAATGAAACAGCTTCATATTTAACATTTTTAAAAATAACTCATTCATTAAATATTGGGTTATATCAACCTAAGAAGGATCAGTGTGACTTGTGTTTTAGTTTTAAAAATAATAATATTTCTCAAGAAACTTATAATTCTCATATTGAAAATAAAAATAAAGCTAGAAAAGAAAAAGACGACGATAAAAAAAGAGCTGAACGTAATGAAATTAACGCATATACTTTAGACGTTCAGGCTGTTCAACTTGTCCCATTTATAGGAGCTGGAGCATCTTACTTTAAACAAAAACTTGCTGTTCATCAATTCACAATTTATAATTTGAAGAATTCCGAAGTCTACTGCTACGTGTGGCATGAAGGTGAAGGCGGCATGGAGTCCAATATTTTTGCCTCATGTATTTCTAATTTTTTAGAGAATTATGTTGATTTAAAGATTCCTACTGTACTTTTTACTGATGAATGTTGTGCTCAAAATCGTAATGTTAATTTAGCTAATTTGTTGCAACTAATAGCGATAAAATTTGAGACAACAATCTATCAGAAATATTTAACTATTGGTCACACACAAATGGAATGGAATTCATCTATTGAAAGGAAAAAGAGAAACAAGGAACTTTACGTGCCATCAGATTTTGTTCGCATTATTAAAAAAGCAAGAACAAATCCAGAGATATATAAAGTTATTTATGTTGATCACGCTTTTTTTAAGGATTTCTCTAAAATACAGTTTTATAAATCGATTAGACCTGGTTTAAAAACAGCAGATCCACAAGCAACAGATTTAAAATATCTTAAATATAATTCAACTGGGGTATACTATAAATTAGATTACCAAAACGATTGGATTTTATTACCTCAAAAAAAAAAGAAAAGTAAATATTAATCGAACAAATATTATTACTCCGTTGTACAAAAGACCGATTTCCATTCCATCAGGGAAATTTAAAGATATACAAAGTTTGAAAAGATTACTACCCCAAGATTATCATAATTTTTATGATCAATTGAAAGTCGAATCTAGTGTAGAAGAATAAGTAAAATAAATTGTAAGATTGTTTGTTTTTAATTATTTTCCATGTTATCCACCTGTTAATTTGTACATTATTTGATAAATTGTAAACATATTTTAACATAATTAGATATTAATTTTATGTTTTGTAACATGTTGAGTAAGGATAAAAAAAATTGTTTTAATTAATTAATAAATATGAAATAACAATGAATTGAGAGCCTTGCATAACAAAATTTTTCTCCAATGATCATATAAAAAAAAAATGTTTTTTGATTTAAAACCTCGTATATACAAACAATTTACCGGGGTATTTGACGTAAAAACTCGTATCTACATAAAATTGAGAATAGCAATTAAGCATAGATGCAGATAACAAAAATCATGTTTAATTCTTTTAAAGTGATAAATAAAGAGTATAATTTTTAATTTATTATAACTTTTTGAAACAGTTAAGTAACTCTAAACGTTTTTATTGATTTTCCAAAAATTAGGATTTTGTAGATACTAGGTTAACACAGAAAGGGGACGATATCACTGTAGGTAATTGGACAGACTAGTTCAGTTGTGAATGAGAGTTAACTCCTGTTCTTCCACTAGCGCCAGTAAAATAATAAAATAGTTAATCAAATGACGAACAATTATTTTGAATAAAAAAAATATATATATAAAAAAAGTAGCGAAAAAAAGAAAGGAAAGGGAGGGAGAAAAGGGTAGAGAGTTAATATTACCAAAAGATTATTAAGAATCTCTAAGACCTTAACAATCTCTCCTTGAAGGATTTCTTAAATGATCCTAGAGATTTTTGAAAAAGTTTTGGGTCTATTTTAAATATTTTGTTAATACTGACAGCGGCGGCGTACGAGAAAATTCTCCTAAATATTGCTTTATTTATAGATTAGGAATATCCGTTCTGTATGTAAGTTTACTATGTAAAATTTTAGAAAACGGTCATGATCAACGTTTCTTTTTTTTATTGTTTTCATTATCCCTTAGTCTAACGAGTCCCCAATAATACCCGTATCCGTTAACATAACTTCTATTATAACTTAAGTATCAGTGACATTCTCTTATAGTTACTTCTGAAGTTTTTTATGTTACTTTTAACAGAATAATAATATAAGGATTTCTTTAGAAACTAACAGTCTAAAAAATAAAACATGTATGTCCGATTAAAGTAAATACTGGTTTTTTTCTAAAAATAATCAATGTATAAATTATGATGCTCTTGCAGTTAATACAAAATACAGACAGTTTGTTTAGTTGCGTGGCAGAGTACCCAATAACTCTTCAGCAACAATAAAAAATAATTAAAGGTCAGATTCCAGTTTTGCCGGACATTATAAACATTTTATTAAAGTATCCATCTGCTATCCCAGTATGTTAACTAGTTGACTGCCAAGCCATAAATTATTTTTTTTGTCTAGGGCCAATGAAGAAAGTTTGTTTATTTATAATAATAACAACTCCCTTGATGTCTATCTTAATCAAATATTTGACATGTCTTAGGATTTTTTACATTTTGTTTGCTGGTCCCATGGGACCAGCGCGGCCCTATTGAGCAAATTTTGTTTAAAATTTCGCTATCGGCGCCGCTGGTCCCTTGACATCTTGAATATATAACCTCACTTTTTAGTTTGTTTGTGTAAGTGTATGCAGGTATTGCAATTACTGTGAAAAAGAAAGTGTGATAATCTGTTTTCCAAGGTAATTTTTTTAAATAAAACAAAGATATCGTTTTAAAATAATTATTTTGTATTCGTAGATGTCCAGAAAACGAAATATATTAAGCCTAAGTGAAATAGAAGGACTTGCTCAAAATTTTGGGGATTCAGATTCAGACGAATCCTATATAGAGCCATTTGAGGCATCTGATAGTGACGAATACCTTCCTTCATTTTCTGAAGATTCTGAAACCGAAAATTCATACAATAATTCAAAACTCACTTCTAATAATATAAGAGGTCTAGAAAATGAAGAAAACAGTTTACATAGTAATTCTGATGTTGAGAATTCAGAAAATTTGTCACCTAATGTAACTGTGAGGAATGAGATGGATACTGAAACTCTTCAGAGACAAATAACTATAAATGATGATAATTCATGGGGACCAATTAGGAGACAGTATAAAGATGTTCCTAATTTTTCACTTACTTCAGGAATTAAGCCAGAAATAGCAGCTACTCTAATTCATGAAACTCCAGGCCATTTCTTTGATGCTATTGTCGACAATGATATAATATCCTATATTGTTGACCAAACTAACCATTATACTAGTTGTTTGTTAGTAGAAACTGATACAAGTGAAAATTCTCGTTTACACAACTGGACACCCACAAATAAATGTGAGATTAGGCAATTTTTGGGTATTATAGCGTGGATGGGATTAGTCAAAATGCCGTCTCTTCCAGACTATTGGTCCACTAATCCTATATATAAAATGAATTTTGCTTCTTCAGTAATGAGTCGCAATAGATTTGAAATATTATTACGAACAATACATTTCTGCGATAACAATCAAGCCAATCTCGAAGACAAACTTTATAAAATTAGGCCTATATTAAATATGCTTGTAAAGAATTATAAAAGTCTATATACCCCTGAGGAGTATATGTGTGTTGATGAAACTATGTTGCCTTACAGAGGTAGGCTATCGATTAGACAATATATAAAATCAAAGAGACACAAATATGGAGTTAAACTGTTTAAGCTTTGTTCTGGGTTAGGTTATACTTACAACATAAAAATATATGCGGGAAAGGAGAATAACGTATCAGTAACTCCAGAATCTATTGTTTCGTATCTAACAGAAGATCTTTTAGAAGTTGGAAGGACATTGGTTACGGATAACTGGTATTCAAGTTTACCTTTAGCCAACAAAATGTTATCTTCCAATACCCACTTTATTGGCACAATAAAAAAAATCGTAGATTTATTCCTAAAGAAGTTGTCAATAAAAAATTAAAAAAGGGAGAGATATGTGCTATGAAAAACCCCGAAGGAATCACGATTATAAAATGGAAAGATCAAAGAGAAGTACTTATGATATCAACAGAACATGATGATACGCTCATCGAAAAGAGAAGAAACCAAAATATTCAGCAAGTACCGTCTATTGTGTTAGACTATAATCGTGGCAAAGGATCTGTGGATCTATCCGATCAAATGGGATCTTATTCTAATCCTCTTCGCCGATCCATAAAATGGTACAGAAAAGTAGGGTTTGAATTGTTACTAACAACATCTATGGTGAACGCATATATTTTGTACAGACAAACAAATGAAAGCGACATTAAAATCACAGCTTTCAAAAGAGAAGTGATAAAGCACCTAATTTCTGTATGTAACGAAGAAAATATTCCTCCGCCCGTATAGAAACGTCGCGTACACTTTCTGAAAAAGAAAGAAGGTGAAAATAAGCACAAGGTGAGGCGTTGTTGTAAGAATTGCTACAAAAAAAATAATGATACCCACGGTAGAAAATATGCTACAAATAGAACTCTAAAGGTCGATACTTACTGTGAAGATTGCGAAAAAAAACCATTTTTATGTTTACCATGTTTCAATGAAACACATCTAACAACCTAGTTATTTTTATTACCTAATATTGTTTAATATTTACGCTTTTCGTTTATTTGTGTGTTTAAATTAATAAAAGTTTATTTCCGTACTTATTTTTTTTACCAAGGGACCACAGGGTCTCCAAAATAAAAAATTCCAGAACCATCACCGCCACAATATTCTTTGAAGCCATGCTGGTCCCCTATACAATATAATTAGAACCTGACTTTTGCCAGAAGCTTTAGATCTACAAATACATGTGCTGGTCCCATCGGACCAGCGTGGCGTATAATACCCATGCGTTGCTGGTCCCATGGGACCAGCACGGCAGTCAACTAGTTAATAAATACTTTACGACTTGCAAATTCAAAGGTCCGCAGTTCAAACCCCACCGTTGGCAGGGATTTTTTATTTAATTTATTAATTTAAAAATAATTCTGATGCATATGTAGGATTGTATTTAACCAAACAAATACATTTCATATTCATTCTAGGTAGTGAGAACACTGCAAAAAAATTAAATCCAACAATCACAGTTCATAGTTTGAATAGCCAACTACTATTATTTTTAAAATATTAAATAGGTGACAATTCTGTCTCTCTGTATAATTTTTAGTTATGTAACCTACCGCACCCAGGTACTTCAATAATTTATTTATTCCATTTATTAAATACAATATTGCATTCTTATTAAATTCAAAATCCTTTATTTAACGAAAAATCTCCTTGATAATTAAATCTTATTTACGACACCTAATAAATAATATCTACAACCACGGCCTAAAATATCCAAATTTCGTGCACGTGTCTCTGAGAACCTAGACCAAGAAAACACCATAAAACATATTTATTTTTACGAAGTAATTATCATTAAAACACTTGTATCACTTATCTTCCTAGTTTCGACGTTAAGACCGATTTCGACAATGTTTTAATACACAAAGCTTTTAAGGCAAGTGATAAATAAGCCACCTCCTGTACCCACCGAATTTCTATGAGAAGTAAAGACATAGAGACGTCACAAAAGCTATTAAAACTTTATTATAAAAAGCCAGACCCAAATGAGCTCAGATTCATTCATTTTTAGTTGTTTGATTTGCATGCATTTAATTTTATTATTTGATGTGCAAGCATTCATTTATTATTTGAATCCAGTTATATTTTAAGTTTAGTACTTAGTACCTTTCCTAAAACGCTTTTCCTAAACGACGTCTATCCTACAATACCTCCTATCTCCGAAGGTGCAAACGTCTCGACGCCCAACGTCCTGCCGTCCTACTCCCTACGTCTCGAACGCTGTCACATTCCTCACC